ATCCAAACCATTCTATGATTCTATGATGCCAAGCATGTAACACTTTTCAGTTTAGATGTGAACATCTTAAATTTTTAGACAAAATATAGTTCAAAAAGTAAAATAGGAATTATTTTTTTTTTTTAAAAAGAACCCTCATACCTTAAGACAAAACTCTGTCTTCTTACTGGTTAATCAGTCATCAAGCATTTTTTTTTAATCCTGCAAATAATACATACTTATTTGGTAACCCAAAAGAAAATAATTATACCCAGATACTTGTTTATGGGTGGAGCTGTGTTTCTGGTCTGCAAATAAAACTGCCTGAAGTACTTATATTTACTTCAGTAAAAGGCTTGTTTGTTTGTGGGTTGGTTGGTTTGTTGCTTGTTTTAGGTTGTTTTAGTATTTCAAGGTGGAAGAGAGCTGCAACTGAGTATTTGGTAACTGGTCTGATATCTCAGAAAGGGATTCCAGTAGTATGCCTCTCTGTAGGCGTTTCCCCAGAGCAAAAGCATCTTCTTCAGTTTCCCCACTTGACCCTCTCTGGTTTGTCCACAGTGGGCACGCCCTGCATGTGTAAGAGATGGTTACTCAAACAGCAGACTCCAGATCTTCATCACAGCTGAAAGTCAAGCTAACACAACTGAGAGCCTGAATGTCTCTGCAGTCTGAGGGGAAGTAAAACCCTGGGAAGAAGTCACTTGCAGTCCAGGGCTTATTGCATAATTTATTGGATGATGAGAGCATGGTGGGGAGAAGCTCGGCTGGCATTATGATTGTGTGCATCACTTCGGGATGAGCTGGGGTTGGGAACAGGCAGTTTTCTGAGCCACCTGGGTATCCTGATATGGGTATCCATGTTGTTGAGTAATCCTCAGCTTTGGTCTGAGGAGGTTGGGAAGCAAGACACTTTGAGATAGGTAATAGAGTCAACAAGCCACTAAAAGCTAGGTGTAGCAAGGGATTTGTGGAAAATAAGATGATGCCTCATTTTTCCAGTGTTTCTGAGCGCTTGACAGCCCTGGAGCTGCTGTTGGCTGTGTGCTGCAGGGCTCCCTGGATGAACTGGTTGACTAGTCAACTGAGCTTCCCAGTGGCCTGGGACACTGAGTGGGAGGGACTGCTTGTGCTTTCCAGATTGTTATGGGGTAAGGGGATGCATTGGAAGAGGGGGAGAATGGGCAAGTGGTGCCCTGAAGATGGTGGAATGAGTGCACACCAGGTACATGCCGGGGAACAGGAAGAGAGAAACACTTCTATGTTAGAAATAATAAAGCTAGTAAAAGTAGTCATTGTGTGTAAAATATTTATTTGCCTTAAGCTTGTTGTGGCAGAAGGAAAGAGATTGAGGGAAGAAAGTCTATCAGAAAACAAGGTCTGTTGGGGATTGCTTTTGTTTAATATTTGGGATAAAAAGCTGCACTATGAGTTGCAGGGAGAGGAAACCTGCAGCCAGAGGATGTGTAATGTCCAGAACCTCCACTCCCAAAAAGCCTGCATGAGTTGCAGCTGGAACACTTCATGAGTGCATTAGCACATGTTTAGACAAGAATTTTACCAATCCTCATTTGTCTTAGTAACTAAAAATGTCTGGATTTATCTTCTGGATATAGTATGTGTGGGTTTTTTAAGAACTTGTATCAACTTTTGCATTAGCAGGTGATAACAAACTAATTTTGGTTTTTTTGAGTGTCACAGAAAAACTCACAGTTCTGTTTCTGAAGTTCTGAGTTATTTTGACAGTAACAAGCATTTTGTTTTTGCCCTTATATAAAGCCAGGACTTATTTTGTTAAGAAGCTTCAAGTGTTTGTGGTAAGCTTTAACAACCTGCAAGAAAAAGCAGCAGCAGGAGGTATGGGCATATCTACCCAGCTTTATCTGGAGGTTGCAGTTACATCTGTTGTGGCTAATGGCCTTGACATAGGGACTTTGTCTGTGGGTCAGACTGTACCTTAGTCGATTTCAACCAGAGACAGCTATAGGAAATGCAATATGAGTGCTGCATTTCTGTGTTCCTGGTGCTGCTTAGATCCATGAGTATGAAAGATAAATTCTTGGTTACGCTGTGTTGCCAGCGTAAATGTTCCTAAATGTTTACGTAAAAGCTATTTTTATGAATACCTGATCTTGTCTTTTCCTGAAGACTTGTCTTTTTGAAAACATTTTAGATACATGACCATAGTTATTTAAAGAAATGAAAAATTGAGTGTTTCTACAGTGAGATTATGTACACATAACTGACATTGGCTTTATTCTGCTACCAGGTCTAGCAATGCATAATGATACACACATTTGGTAATATCTTTAACAGGAGAAGCAGGAGTATGAAATTAAAAAAAAAAAAAAAAAAAAGTTGCTTTTCTTCCCTTTATTTATTTGTTCCTGTATGTTTGTGTATGTTTTGGTGTTGGAGGGATGAGGAGGAGAGGGAAGGGAGGGTAAACACTGCAACATTTCCAGAGGCCATATAAGCAAAACAAACACATTTGTGGTGTGTTGACCAGAATAGAATATGTTTAGATGCCATGGTCATTTCAGTTGTTGGATGATATGGGATTTGAACAGTTTAAAAACTGACTCTCTCTTATCCTTATCCTTTGTCTCTGTTCCAGATGAAAAGGAGAAATTTGAACCCACAGTCTTCAGGGATACGATTGTCCAAGGCCTCAATGAAGCTGGGAATGACCTGGAGGCTATAGCCAAGTTTCTGGATGCAACAGGCTCTAGGCTTGATTATCGCCGCTATGCCGACACACTCTTTGATATTTTGGTAGCTGGCAGTATGCTAGGTAACCTGCAGTGTACCTGATACATGAGCAGCTTTGCTTTTAAAATGCTGTCTTCCTTTACAAAGTGGAAATTATAAACTGTATTACAGTCTCACTTACCTAGATACTTCTTGCATCTTGTGTTATAGCATTCTTTATTGTTTGTAGGACAGTAATACTTAGGGACTTGATTGTGTGAGGTGTTCTTGCAGATTTCACAAAACATGGATACTGCTCTGAGAAGCCTTCAGTCTGAACTGAAACAGCATATAAATGCAACAGCAAAGAAAATGAGAAAGATGCTAACTAGGGAGAACAGAGGAATTTATTAGCATGAAAAGATGTAATACATCATTCCAGGTTATTAGCTGTAGGTGTTGCAACAAAGGCTTTCATGGGACACTTCTCCCACGTATCAGTGGCAGCTTGGGCAAAAACATGCCTTTCACCTTCCTCTGTATTTTGAATAAGTTGGCGCTTTTTACTGGTCGTGTTGGCTTGATTCCTGCTTCCTGCTCTTTGGTGTCTAAGAAGAAAATATGTTTTTTCTAAGACTTGAGGTAATGCAGGAAACAAAAGCTGGTGGAAATATCTAGGAAAAAAGCTCTCAACAAAATAAACCAGGAGAAAATTTTTGCAGAAGTGTTTTGAATGCTTATGTGGGCCTGGTAAGCATTAGAGGGGTTAGGATGATGTTCCAAATCCTCAAATTAGTAGCAGAGTGCTAATACTTTTCTCTTTGGAAAGTATTTACATTACTGTGGTGTATAAAGTAGTAGCTAAAATATGCACATGGTTATGCTTCAACCCATACTTACTTGATCACCCTCAGTGCTCTCAAAAACAGCTAAGATTGCTTAGTGTGACCTGAATTTCTCAGTCCTTTGTGATCTGTGTGATCTAAGGTGCAGCATATTGGCCAGCTGTCCCTTCTGTCAGATGCCACCACAGCCTTGCAAAGCTCATTCTCTCTCTGTTCCGCCCTCTCCCCTGCTAGCTCTTAACCTTGCCTTTTGCCTCAGTGATACTAACATGACTTACTAAATTTTGTAATTATAGAACATTCTCTAAAGTGAAATTGTTTCTTGCCATTTTTTTTTTCTTTCTTTCAGCTCCTGGAGGCACACGCATAGATGACAATGATAAGACCAAGATGACCAACCACTGTGTATTTTTTGCAGATGAAGATCATGATGCCATCCGAAATTATGCTCAGGTTGGTAAAGGCATGGTTGATTACTGTTTTCTGTTTATTTATCAAAAAATTACAGTAGAATACCTGCAGATTGTCTAGGCAGCAATAGGCTAGTTACAGGGCAATTGAAAATCCAGTTAACCAGTAATCTGCCCTAACCTATACATTTTAGGTATGAAAATAGGATGTCTAAGATAATCTGATCAGAGCTGGCAATGCTTTCTTTTACAGAAAGCAATCTTACTTATTTCAGTCTGCTGTTGGTTCAGTATATTTTTAGACACCATCCCTATTATTTTTGTTGACCTTTTCTGTATGCAGCCTGAAAGATTTGTGTGAATGTATTTTTAGAAACACGTGAAGTATATGAATGACAAAATATAAAGCTTATGCCTCCAACCTTTAGTTGTACAACAAGTTAGGAATTGGGCATATATACCAAGAGCTTTTCTCCTGTGTATGTGATATATAATTTCTTTTTGCAGGAATAAAGCTTGCACAAATAGGCCTGTGTGAAAATAACACAAAAAAGCAATGAAGCCTAAAACATTATTGAAGAGATGCTAATGTTGCATAACTTAATCCTTAATGGATGATAATTATATGAGAAGATACAGTAAGAACTGTATTGAAAGTTCAGAGCCACCATGCAATCCTGGATACAAGCAGGATTGTATAAAAATGCAAGACCATTGAAACTCCCAGAGGTCAAAAGTCTATTTTTAATTAAGCAACATATTTATCTATAACTACGTTTTATTGGGATGCTGGAGATAGTAACTGGAAGCATAAATGCCACTGTCCCTGCTAAGGTGTTGAGGGTGGTAAGTTGCTGATAAGGTGTATGGTTGATTTAAAGGGTGCTGGGATCAGAATCAGCATCAGTAAACAAAAGTTTACTAAATAGGAGAAAACTCCTTTAAAAACACATCTTTGATAATATGAAGAAGTAAAATGCAGTTATTTCTGGAAAAGAATTCAATATATCTTGTGTATCAGCTTTATCATCTCTTAAAAACAGAGCAGGCTACTTCAGGAATATCTCTTTTACGGGTAAACACATTGATTCTGTCTTCTTAAATTTTAGTATTTTAGAGGTTTGGCTTTAAAGTAAAAGGTTGGAAAATGGAAGGGAACGCTTCAGTATTTGAAGCAGTGGGACTTTCAGTGTACTCTCTGCATTTCAAACTAAAACCCAGCAAAATAAGTCAGCATTTTGTAGTTAATGCCTGAAGAGTTGTATCTGATGCCTATCTTTGCCATTTTTTTTCATGCATAATGGGAAGTAGACCTCTTATTGTAGTATGAAAAAGTGGAGTTAGGCTAAAATAGTGTTCAGAGCTTCCTCATCTTCTTCATAATTTCTTACTCTTGACTCCCAAATGAACCAGTAGTGTGGCTGCTTTTTGGGGTTTTAGCCCTGGAAACAATTCAAAGAATAAAAAGCCTTCAAGAAAAGAGACTATAGCTAGTGTTGATATTTTAGCAGAGTATTTACTCATAAGCAAATGTGTACTTCTGTCATTTACAGGGACTTATAAAAATATACAAAATTCTGTTTGGAAAATATGAACAAGATGCTAGCTTACATTTTAATCTTGCACCTTATTTTATTAGAGCTGTGTGTGTGCCTGCCTCTTAGCGTGGCCACAGCTTGATTTTTCACTACTTCTGAGACAAAATATGGATGTTTAGATGTATTTTATGTTCTCTGAAAAGTGAATTGAAGCTTTCTAAACTTAATGTATTTCCCCAGCACCATCCAGTCTTGTCATTTGTTCCCCATATAAACCTTTTTACCCGTGACAGCGAGTCATATGTTTTATGACCCTTGTACAGCAGCAAGAGCAGTGAGTTGTTTACTTAATTTCTTATCTCTCCCTTCTTCCATCTGAATGTACCCTGCACCTGTGCTGCATCTGCTTTCATAATCTGTGGTTGCATGATGGGAAACAAATGGTGAAAACTGGAGAACAAGTGTTTCCAAGAACACGCTTGTTATAACAGCTTTGTCAAATGTTCTTCCTCTTT